CTGAATTAAACCAATGAATTCAAAATAAAAAAGGAATGAATCAGCATTTGAACAGTATTTCTCATTATCGCATAAAGATGAATCTTCCCAGGATGGACACATAAATATAAAATTGGCTTGAATTAGAAACTCTTCAACTTTTTAAAGGAGGCTCGTTCAGCGTTCGGCTCTGAATAACTATGTTTGAACACAGCCATATAAATATAAAATTAGCTTGAATTAGAAACAAAAAAGAAACAGAGCCTTAACGTGGACTCTTCGGCTTTTTAAAGGAGGCTGGTTCAGCGTTCGGCTCTGAATCCTCGCTCTGGGTCCAAAGCCTCCATCAGCTTCTTCCTCATGACGGCTTTGCTGGAGTACAGAGGCAGCTCCAGGTAGGAGTAGCAGGTCAGGGCCTCGGGGCGATGCTCGTCAGGGGAACCGGTCAGGACTCCTTGGAGCCGAACCGTCATCCTGACCTCAGCCATTCCCAGGATGGGAACCCTCCGAAAGCCTGTCAGGAACCCTGAGGAGCAGAAGGGATCTTTGTTGTTTTTTTTGTTTTTTTTTGTTTTTTGTTTAATCACAATCTCATACAGATTGTAAATGAGCCAGATTATAGCATAGTTGCTAGTTTACATCTGTCGTCCTGAGGCAGGAAGACAAAACAACACAAAATCACAGAATACTAAATCAGTCCAAACACACGTTCAGACAATGACATTACAAAATTAAAATGATTTCAATTAAATTCAATTTCATTTATATAGCGCCACATCACAACAACAGTTGTCTCACAGCGCTTTCCAAACAGAGCAGGTCAGACCCTACTCTGAAGTTAATTACAGAAACCCAACAATTCCCATATTATCAAATAATAATTGGAGTTTGGTTTAGTTTGACCTTCTAAACAAACACATTGAAATGAATGTTTGATTGAAACTGGGGAAGAAATGATATAAATTATATATATATATATATATATGTATACATATAGTTTTTTATGTATATATCTAGCTATAGTATATGAGGTTTTTTGTATATATATATGTATAGATGTACAGACATGTACATATGTATATGGCTTTGTTTTACTTATGGAGCCTGTAACAAAAATAATTTCCCTCTGGGATTATTAAAGTATTTCTGATTCTGATTCTGATGTTTGGAAATGTTTTTCCAGATGAATCTCTGGGCTCTTTTTGACCTGAGAGGATGAACATGACCTGAGAGTCTTAAATCCATATTTCTATTCTCAAATCTATACTTTTAAAGATTGTACTTTTTAGTTTTATTTTGTCTGTTCTATATTTTTATTTCTACATTGTATTTCCTTACTTCTCATAGAAGTGTTGTGCACCAAACAACAAGGCAAATTCCTTGTAAGTCAAAAACCTACTTGGCAATAAACCTTATTCTGATTCTGATCTGTTTTTTAATTATCAATCAACACTTAACATAGACTTCTGAACACATTCAGAGCACAAGACGGAGCTCAATTAAGGCAAATGTGGGATATATGTATTTTGTGGGTGGCTTAAGTTTCCCTAAAGCAGCTTAAAAAAAAAGGGAGGATTTTTTATGTTTGTCCTGTTTCTGGCTTTAAATGTGACCTTATAAGCCTGTAAATATTAACCAAGCCTGTCGTATCTGAGCTCAAACCGCTTTAAAACAGATAAAAAACCATAACCTGAGTGACTAGGGATCCACACCAGTATTAATTCTGCATACAGAATAGCTTGAAATGGTAAAAATACAGTGTGGGAGGTTCCCCATTTGCTCCTCTGTGCTTCCTTGCCACAATTATTATCTAAATTTTCCAAGTCTGTTTAAAAAAAACCCTATATATATAAATTAAAGCATCTAAAATGCTAATAATAGGTATTATTTTTAGCTTTTTGTTGCACAGGAACACTGTTAATGTTGCCTTTTTTTTGTAGTTTTTGTTGTAGTTGTTGCTGCTGTAACAGCATCAATACTAATAAACCTTTCAGAATTATTTCAGATATTAAAATAAAATAAAATAAATAAAAAGTATTTCAGATATTAAAGTCCTCTAAAATAAGACTTACAAAGGAAGTCTTTCTTCTTTTCTTCCTCCAGCTTGTTGAAAACCTCCCAGAACCGGAGGATGTTGGGGTGACTCTGATAGTAGAACCCGTCGTATTGTGCGTTCTGTGGACACACAAACACACAAAATAGAGTTTTTATGCTGAACACAAACAGAACAAAGGGGACGGTGGGCAGAGATGTTCAGTAACGAAGTAAAACTACTTAAGTACTGTACTTAAATACCAAAATGCAGTATCTGTACATTATTTGAGTAGATATCTTTCCCCTACTTTTACTTTTACTCCACTACATATTTTCCATTATTTCAATACTTTTCCTCCGATCAATTTTTCACAGGCTGAATCGTTACTCGTTACTGATTTGTAAACGTAATGATAGATAGCTGTCACGGTTTGGAAAGCTGGCTCCTCATTGGCGATTTGAACGATCAAGCATAGCCTATAAAAAAAAAATCCTCCCAAAAGATTGTTACTTATAGCCTTCAAACATTCCCCATCTAATCTGAAGAAGCTTATCAAGGTAAGATAAAAAATACAATGACATATAAGCTAGTAAATAAGCGCTAGTTCAGTTCTCCCTGTTCTCTCAGGACGTAGCAGCTAACGTTAGCTAAAGCTAACCTAGCTGGCTAGCTGTAAGTTAAAAAAATACGATATATAAAATAATAAAATGAGCCCTAGTTCAGTTTTCCTTGTTCACTCAGGACGCAGCAGCTAACGTTAGCTTAAGCTAACCAAGCTGGCTAGCTGTATAACGTTAGCTAAAGCTAACCTAGCTGGTTAGCTGTATGATAACGTTAGCTAAAGCTAACCTAGCTGGCTAGCTGTATGATAACGTTAGCTAAAGCTAACCTAGCTGGCTAGCTGTATGCTACATGCTAACATAAAGGCTCAGCTCAGGATTCTGACTGGAATAATAAATAATAGTAGATGAAGTGCTGTTGATTGCTAATGCAGATGTAGTTTTCTGTTTTTGAAAACACCTGTATGGTCTTTCACACGTTTGAAATAATATAAACAATATCTATCAAATTTTTGATTGCCCTTTTTTTATATACACAGTACTTTTACTTTTGATACTTGAGTAGCAATTTTTGAAATACTTCTACTTGCAATACTTAAGTACAAAAAAATGGAGTACTCCAGTACTAAGTATGGTGTTGAAAGAATACTTCTACTTTTACTCAAGTACATTTTTTTACATAGTACTTGTACTTCTACTCCACTCCTCTACTCCAGTACTTTACACATCTCTGGCGGCGGGCCGTGCCTTTTTGAACGTGGCCCAGTCGTAGACGTCCTGGCCCTCCAGGGCTCCCCGGAGCTCCTCCGGCCCGAACATCTGCACCAGCCCCCGGTCGCACATCTGGAAGAAGCCGCGCTCAAAATGGCCGAACGCCGCCGAGCCGAAGGCGTGCGACACGTAGGCCGCCACAAACTCCGCCCTGTCGACCGGGGGGGGGGGGAGGGGAACAGGGCCCAGAGTGAGCTGCAGCCTGTAGGAAGCCGAGGATGGATGTCCGACTCCTCCCACATCCAAGTCGGCCATTTTGATTAGGTAATGTGACTAGCAGCTTTCTCAGGTGGAAACGAAAGTTTTATGTCTGTACAAAATCAGAAGACAAACGATGTCCTAACACTGACCCTGACCCTAACCCTGACCCTAACCCTAAACCTAACCCTGACCCCTAACCCTAACCCTAAACCTAACCCTGACCCTATCTCTGACCCTAAACCTAACCCTGACTCTAATCCTAACCCTAATCCTAACCCTGACTCTAACCATAGACCTAACCCGAACCCTAAACCTGACCCTAAACCTAACCCTAACCCTAACCCTAACCCTAAACCTAACCCTAACCCTAACCTAACCCTAACCCTCCACCCTTCATAATTGTGAGAAATAAATATTTTTTTGGTTAAACTTGTTTGGACTTATTGTACAAACCTATTTAACATCCACTATTTTAACATAATATTATGTATAGAGTTGAATTCAGTGTTTGCAAGATTCATTTCACTATTTTTAAATGAATGTCTTTATTGCCATGAAGCAACTACGATTTTCTTGCCTGGGATCTTCCTATTGGTGACATAATCAAAATGGCCGACTTGGATGTGGGCGGAGTTGGATATCCATCATTGGCTCCCCCTCTTAGACCCCCCCCCCCCCCTTAAAACTCACTTATTCTGCTGTGTAACCGGTTTCTCCGGGTTCTGGGGATCGAGGTCGACGTCTTTCCCGTCCCAGTGGATCTGGAAATGCCAAAGGGGGCGGAGTCAGAAGGGGCAGAACCAATCAGGCAAATGGACGTTTCTGACACTCAGGCACGGACCACGAAGTCGATGTCGGGGTCGTCCTCACTGCTCAGGACGGCCTGCAGGCTCCTGAAAACAGAGGAGAGCCGGTTGGACTCAAACTGGGGGAAATCAAACTAAACTCCAGTCCTTCTCATTCCTGTTTTTAGAAGTTTCCCCGTTTCAAATAGGCTTTTCCCGATCCGATATCTGGATCTGGATCGGATCGGCCAGCAGGAGAAAATGCAGATCCAGACTCCAGATCCAGTTTTTTTTTTTTAAAGTCCGATCCCACACGAGCATTAGCATTAGCATTAGCATCTCCTGACCCACAGGTCTGTGTCCTAACCATTAAGTTGTTATCAGAGTAAATCCCTGTTCAACATGTGTCTGACAGCTAAGTAAGTAGATAAATAACTTTAAATTTTAATACATGCTCTGATAGGCCGGGATTGGTGTCGGATCGGAAGGGAAAAAAGCTGGATCGGGACATCCCTAGTTTCAACACAGCTGATTCACATCACAGAGCAAAGCAAAGCCCCAAAATGTCCAGAGGAGACCCTCTTATTTTACTCCAATAAGGATCTATTGTGGACTGACGTCCATCATGTGTGGCGTTTGGTGAAAATGGAAGCATCTTTAATCGGTTCCAACACAATTTTGGGGGGTTTAAATTGATCATCTGTCTATTTAACCATGTAATGCCAAATGTATCATATTTGATACATACGGTTTCTGAAATGTTTTGTGTTTGACACCTTTTGCACAATCTAATGGTAAAAACTTTGCTCAAAATCCAATTTTACACAATCAGATACACCTGATAACAGGGGGGAGAAGACTACACGAAAAATAATCTTGACTTATCGCATAGTAATAAATTATTAATATTAAAAATGTATTTCTGTTTTTTCTTTTTACATATTTTGTTAAAAGGCCAAATAAGGAATTCAAACAAAAAAAAAGTAATTTCCTTTTTTCTTAATTCTTGGATCAGGCTTTAAAGTATAAGTACGTCTACTTCCGCCTCTGTGAGCTCATCCGCCACCATTTGTCCCAAATCCAAACCCAAAATACACGGAAAGCTAAACAAACTCTTACTTTCCAACTTCGGGCTCGAACTCCATCATGTCCTCCAGCGTGGGCTCCACGTGGAGCAGCTTCTTGAACAGAGCCAGAGGGAAGTGGGAGTGTATGATGCTCTTGTTGTACAGGGCCAGTCCGCACAGGATCCCGAACAGGTAGAAATCTGTCCTGCTCTCCTCCGAGTCCTGGTGGGAAAACAGAGCCAGAGGGATCCTACGTTCATGATTTCATGTTTTCTCTGTTTTTCAGGGGACCAGAATAGTCTGCCTAAATGGACTGGCACTTTGCAAAGAAGGTTACGGGACTTATTGCCCGACGTAATTCTCGAGGGACATAGACACACACACACAGACACACACAGACACACACACACACACACACACACACACACACACACACACACAACACACACAAATATTTGGTTTAGGGGCATTTTTGGGGCTTCTAGAACACTCTAGTACTCTCAGAAAAAATGAGGACGCGAAAAATGTCCTCATATTTCTGCACGTCCTGATATTGAAGGCGTGTATTCTCAGATTGGTCCTCATATATCACGAAAACAAACACACACACACACACACACACACAGGGAGCAGAGCAACTAGTGTTGGAGACAAAATGCCCCGTTCACTGACGAACTGCAAAAAAAGAAAAAAAATCCCATGACAAGTGGGACCAAAAGGATCTACACTTAGTATATAGATACAAAAAGGATCTCTGCTTAGTTATTTGTTTGCCTTCGTCTTCTATTTCAAGTCCGACGTTTTTGGACGTACGATGTGAAGTCAGATCTCATAACTTGGTCATATAGTGTGATAACAGAAATGGTGAGCGGTGAACTTTGAACCCTACGATTTGGTGGTAACCCTAACCCCGGCTTAATCTGCTAGAGGGTTCTGGGTTGGAGTCCCGGGGGAACCAGGACCAGAGGGTTCTGGGTTGGAGTCCCCGGGGGAACCAGGACCTTTCTGGGTGGAGTCTGCATGTTCTCCTGTGTCTGTGGGTTCTCTCCGGCTTCCTCCCACCGTCCAAAAACCTGCATGTTAGGTTGGCTGGACTCCAAACTGCCCTTAGTGTGAGTGTGTGTGGTTGTTGGTCCTTGTGTGTCTCTGTGTGGCCCTGTGATGGACTGGGGACCGTCCAGGGGGACCCCGCCTCTCCCCATTGGCTACTGGGTGTCACGTCTGGGGGAATGTCTGGTGTCTCGTCACGTCTTGATCACCTATTGTGTACACCTGGGGTTCCCCTCCCTCATGTGTTTAAATAGTCCTCGTTTCCCATGTCCTGTGCCAGTGCGTTTTCGTCCTTCTTGTTGCGTCTCTCATCTTTCGTCTCCCCATGTCACGTAAGGTTTTGCTTTTTGCCATAGTCTTATTTACTATGTTCCAAAGCCATGTTTTTTCACAGTTTTGCCACAGCTTTGTTTTTTAACCTTGTCTGGACTTCCACCGTTTTGAGTATTTTTTGTTACAATAAACCCTGTTTTCGTCATCTCCGCGCCTGAGTCCTCCCTCAAGATCCACCCCCTTGACACTGGGATAGGCTCCAGTTCTCCCCACGACCCCATTAGGGAATAAGAAGTTACGATAATGGATGGATGGATGGATGTGTCCCCGGCTTTAGCTTTAGCTTTAGCTTCCAGACCTACCGTGGAGGAGAACCAGGCCAGCGTCCTGGACTGGTTTTGCAGGAACATGTGGGGTTTGGCTTGCACGATGTTTCTGAACAGCTGGTGGAAGAAGTCCTGTCTGTAGACATTTGTGATCTTTGGGTCTCCGTCGAAGTAGACCTGAGACGGGACAGATGGTTGGCGGACAGCAGATAGACCGTGTTTTGGTCAGTCCTGATCAATGAGAAAACACTCACAAAAAGGGGTTTCTTCAGATCGGCGGGACGAGCGGCCGCCAGCTGTCTGAAGGCGTCCTCCAAAAACGAGGCTCGATTCAGATAAAGCCCAAAAGTCTGGTGCTCCTTCTAAAGCACAAAGCAAACAGGTTTAGCTGGACAAAAGTCGGCTGGCCTGGCTGGTTTTGCTTCACATTGAGAGGTTTTTACTTTTTCTTAAAAATGTGTGATAATTTTCTTGTCATTATAAAAAAGTTTTTCTTATGTTTTTATGTATTCTGTACAACACTGTTCCTTTTTTGGTGTGTAGTGCTGTATAAGTAAAGCTATATTGGATCTATCTATCTATCTATCTATCTATCTATCTATCTATCTATCTATCTATCTATCTATCTATCTATCTATCTATCTATCTATCTATCTATCTATCTATCTATCTATCAAATGCTGACATCACCTGAGTGACATTGCAGTTCATGTCAAAAAACTTTTGCTTTGACTTTTGATCCACGAGAAAAAGGAAGCTGCCAAAGATGAGAGGTGGATTATTCACATCCTGAGGAAAATAAAAAAGCACCAGTAGTTATTCTTTCTGCAAACTATTGAATCTGTTGCACTGAAAAGTGATTAAATTATACAAAGGACTCTAACTTGCCATTTGACGCCAGAGGACCAAATCATTTTGAAGCATATTGTCATTAATCTCCGAGCGGAAAGCTTTTTCAGGGATTTTGCCGTTTTTATTGGCCTGAAAAATAAACATTGTTAATTCGATGGAAGATTGATTGAAAATGAACCGATTGAAAATATTTTGGAGCAGTGTTAATACTGACATTGTACATATTCTGGAGGATATGCAGGATGTTTCTGACTGAGCCGTAACAAGGAGGCACCAAAGACAAGGCCGTCTTCCACACTTTCAGGTGTCTGTACATACAGAGATCAGGTAGCGACGCCCACCAGGCCCCTGAAAATAACGTTAATGAAAAGGAGTGTATCACAAACTAATCCACCCTATAGCCCTTAATCTTAATGTAAAATACCAACAACAGATTAACAAATGACTTGAGTCTTCACAAAATCTCTAATACCTTTTAGAATTCAATATAAATTGTCAGGTTTTACAGTATCTTTAAAAAACTTACAAAATGACAATAAAGTAAAATAGATTATTTAAAGAAGCACACTGTTAATGTATTAAAAAATATTATTGTGAGTTGAAAGTCTTTGACATTTTTTTTATATTTTTAAACTGGATTTTAAACAGTATTTAGCAGCAAGCGGTTAGCAGCTAGTGGTTAGCTGTTAGCAGCTAATGGTTAGCTGTTAGCATTAAGCAGCCTACGTTTAACAGCCAGCGGTTAGCAGTTAGCAGCTAGTGGTTAGCTGTTAGCATTTAGCATCCAGCATTTAACAGCTAGCAGTTACTAGCTAATGGTTAGCTGTTAGTATTTAGCAGCCAGTGTTTAGCAGTTAACGGTTAGCATTTAGCAGCTAGTGGTTAGTAGTCTGTGGTCAGCAGCTTTACCCCTTTGGCCAGGCTGACATTAAAAGAGTAGAAACTGATAAAAATATAAACCATTATCTTAATTTCTTCCCAGTGTAACTATTGGCAAAGTGCCTTATGTTTTGCATTTACTGAGAAATTTGAATGTATACACAGAATAGTGGTTAGTGTTGATGCCATTAGGTTGGTCTGTCAGTTTCTGAGATCATTATTAAGGTATCTTGAATCATATATATATATATATATATATTTGTTGAGTCAACATGAATGTGCAGACAATTTAAATATTTATCAAAGTAGTTGGTAAAAAATACTGTCACTGCCAAAAGTATTTTGGTGTTTAAACTTTCCAACTTAATCAGGTGAATAACGGATGAAAAATAACATTTATAAAAAGCATTTTTGTGAGAAATGCAGCCTTAAGGCAGTTCACTTAATAATCTGTAATTTACCTAAAATCTGGCGGCTCTCGGCGGGGAGACTTTGCACGGCTGCAGCGACCCCCTCAGAGAGCTGAACGCTGCGCGGCCGCCTGTGTTTCTGCATCGCAAACAGGAACTCGTTGAGAATCAGGAAGACCCTCAAGCCCTCGACTGCCACCTGTCCTCCATCAAGAGAGAGAAGCAGCTGCTGGACAGCAGCTTCCACCTGTGGATGCAGCACGCAGTAACTGAGATTTATGGAGACTAACGCTACAGCTTCTTTAAACAAGCCTCCAAAATCTTTTTTTTTTTCTGAGGCGATTAAAGTTAACTGATAAAAAATAAATATATAAATACATAAATAGATAAATACATAAAATAGAATAAAATAAAATCAATAAATCAATAAAAAATAATCAAACAAATAAAGAAAATAAATAATAAATAAATAAATAAATAAATAAATAAATAAATAAATAAATAAAAATGTAATAAATAAATAAATAAAAAATAAAATAAAAAAAATAAAATAAAAATGTTATAAATAATTAAAGTTAACTGAGCTGCATACCTCTGGGAAAACTACATCTGTGCTCACTAGTTTGCCGAAAACACTCGGGGCACCAGTCAAATCCAGGCCCGAGCAGTTTTCTGAATGGTGGAAATGCTCATCGTTGCTAAGAGAAAACACACAGCACAATGTTTGATAGTGGAACAAGTGAACAAGGGAAATAAACTGCTGGATTAAAGGA